CCACACGTGGTCTTCCATGCACTTTCGTTTTTGGCAACAACCTTGGAAATCCCTTCTTGAAGATAAAAGCCACACAATGGAAGGAGCCTGGATCCCTGAGTCACCACCCAGAGGGCTGCCTGCTAATCAGAAACACCTGTGTTGGACTTCATAGGCTGCAAGAAGTAAACTTGTGTTGTGTTAAGTCATTGAGATTTGGGGCCTATCTGCTAAGGCTGCTAGCCAGTCCTTGACGAACACAGTGGGCGAACGGCATTGCTTTTCACTTTTAATGTACTATAGGGAAAGTTGGCCGGGCGCGGTGGCTCACGCCTGTAATCCTGGCACTCTGGGAGGCCGAGGCAGGCGGATTGTTTGAGCTCAGGAGTTCGAGACCAGCCTGAGCAAGAGCGAGACCCCGTCTCTACTAAAAATAGAAAGAAATTAATAGGACAACTAAAAATATATAGAAAAAATTAGCCGAGCATGGTGGCGCATGCCTGTAGTCCCAGCTACTCGGGAGGCTGAGGCAGGAGGATCGCTTGAGCCCAGGAGTCTGAGGTTGCTGTGAGCTAGGCTGACGCCACGGCACTCTAGTCCAGGCAAGTGAGTGAGACTCTGCCTCAAAAAAAAAAACAAAAACAACAAAAAAAAACAACTGTAGAATGCTGAGATTTGCATTTCATTATGTAACTTTTACCAAAAAAAAATTAAATAATGAGCTATAGTTAATGATACGGAAGCTGCAGAATTTAGGCATGAGGCATACTGATACCTATAACTTACTTTGAAATGCATCCAAATATAAGATGGATAGATGGATGGCTAAATAAGTAATAAAGCAGAGATGGCAAAGGGTGAATAATAGAATCTAGGTGATGGGTACATGGGTGCTTACTGTACAATTCTTTCAACTTTTCTATGTGCTTGAAATATTTTTAAATAAAATGCAGGGGGAAAATCCCTAGGTTAGGTTTTGCTAACTCACCTATCCAGAGCAAAGAGGACTGGCATTGAGAAAGCAAACTGCAGGCAACGCAAGGCAACCGGGACCCTCTTAAATCCTTGTTTTTGGCCCTTTGAAGGGGACCACGACCAGGGGCTGAAAGAGGGGTAGTCTAGTTCAGGGTCCCTTTCCCAAATGATTTTGGCCGGTAGGTGCTGTAGGAAATCTCTTCTCTCCCAGTTTTTGCTAACTTCCAGCATCATCAAGTCTTCTCCTCATGCATTAAGTTGTCTGTTCCTTTAGGTTTTGTCTTTTGTATGTCCTGTGGCTCCAGGCAAAAGTAGCAGAGACCACCTAAGATTTGTCTTCCAGTAATTAAATTTCACATTTGATTACTGACTACAGGTTATTTGAAATACCACACACCAATGTGTTTTATTGTACTTTTTTGTTCCAAGAAAGTTGTTTAACAGAAGTGTCAATGTATTGACAGAGAAACCTTCTGGTACACATGAGGTCTCCTGGGAAACAGAAAGGGCAGGAGCAGATCATCAGAAATGGTTACTAATGTAATTTTCCCTTTGTCACGGGAACAGCACAACTTCACGTAGTTTGTAGGCCTTCTTTCCTGTTTGGCCAGAGCCTCCATTCCCTTCGTAATATTATCTTTTCATTATAGAGTCTTTAATTCTATTCCTGGTACTCATTTAATTATGTATTTCTCTTTTTCCCCCAGCTGGAACATCCTTAATCACAAGGTTCAATCTTTCAAAGATAATTATTTTTCTGGATCTTTTTAGCAGCAGGCTGTCATGTTAGTTAATTAGGTCATTTGCTTTACAATTTTTAGTTTATTAACTACCTGTGTAAGAAAAGCATCTTGGGTCAGGTGGAGTGGCTCATGACTGTAATCCCAGCACTTTGGGAGGCTGAGGTGGGAGGATCCCTTGAAGCCAGGAGTTTGAGACCAGCTTGCACAGCGCCATGTCTCTACAAAAAATAAAAAAAAAAAAATAGCTGGGCATGGTGGCGCATGCCTGCAGTCCCAGCTACTCGGGAGGCTGAGGCAGGAGGACCCCTTGATCCCAGTTCAAGGTTGCAGGAAGCAGTGAGTCAGGAACCATGAAAGAAAGCCTGATAGTTTCCTAACAAATGGTCTTTCTGCTTTCTTGTGACCATTGGCTAATTGTTTTCCTGTCTATATTTTTAAGCTGACTATGGGAATACACTGCCACCAAAGTTTCTTTGAAATTTTAAAGAGTACACAAAAATAACACAGGCCACTGCACTCCAGCTTGGTTGACAGAGAGAAGCCTGTCTTAAAAAAAAAAAAAAAGCATCTTGTTAGAGAGGAGGCTGGATAACTATCATTTGGTTTGCACTAACTTTATGGTACTTCAAAACAAAAAACTTATGATTAAAAAGCAAACTGTGAGGAAGGAGCTTAAAAAAAAAGCACCTTGTTATGGGACACCTATTGAGTTTGCTAATTCTCTTTGAGTTATTCATATTAAATACTTGAATACATATTTGTATTATATATTTAAGAAATGGAAAGTCTTTAGTTCTTAAATCAGTAACACATTACTCTTTATAATTTTACCTTGTTAAACATGACTTATAACTTTCTTGGTTTTCTGTTTTGTTTCACTTAGATGTTACAGAGATAAAAGTACAATTTTTCTTCCTTAGAGAGAAAGCACTCTAAATCAGTGCCTTACAAACTTGAGTAGGCTTCAGAATCATTTGGGATGCTTGTTTAAAAGGCAGATTCTGGAAGCCATCCCTCATACAGGTGTAGTGGGGACATTTTGAGAAACACTGCTTGTAAGGAAGTAGGTATGTTACATAATTTTAATCTCACAGAAACAAAATGTGCTAACCGGAATATTTAGAACATGTTTTATTATTTACATTTTTGCTTAAATTATCACTTTATAGTATTATTCTGTAAATCAATTCCATAAATCAATCTGGAAAAAGTGAGACTTGATTCCACATGAAAGACGACCAAATCAGGCACCATGAAAGAAAGCCTGACAGTTTCCTAACAGATGGTCTTTCTGCTTTCGTGTGACCTTTGGCTAATTCTGTTTTCCTTTCTAAAATTTTAAGCTGACTATGGAGATAGATACATTGCCATCGAAGAGTTTCTTTGAAATCTTGAGTGCACAAATAACAGGAGGCCAGCACTTAAGAATTAGTGTAACTTTTTATTAAGATGGTATTGTTTTTATTAAAGAAATACATGAAAATGGTTAAATAAAACCAAATAGTTCCAAAAGTCTTAAAATGAAAACAACAGTCCCATCAGTTTCTTTCCAGAGGCAAGTGCTTTATACCACCACTATGTTCACTTTCCCTTCATATTGTCCCCAAATAGTTATCAGATTTAGGGGTTAAGCAGTTATTCATTGTGGAGAAAAATAGCATATGATCCTTTTACTTCCTATCTTGTATTTTTTTTTCCTTTTTCTTGGAATTAATGATTGCCTAATCACCCCCACTGCATGGTTTTTTTTTTTTTTTTACATTTGCTTTATCTTCAATGAACTTGTTTCCAAATGCCCCAAATCAATCAATAACCTATGATTATTATTATTATTTTTAAGAGAATGGGGCCTCAGTATGGTGCCGAGGCTGGCCTGGAACTCCTCTGCTCAATCCTCCCGCCTCAACCTCCCAAGTAGCTGGGACTACAGGCACTTGCCACCATGCCCATATAACCTATTCATATTTATATAGTTTGTTTTCTAAGCCAGCGATATAGCTGGAATATTGCCTATGTTGGATCCTATTTCCTGGATCCCATGTCATCCTCTTTTTTGGTTTGTGTACTCCTTTCATTTTGCTGGAGAATTTCCTCCAGTAGCTTTTCAAAAAGGCTATGTGGAGGTAACCCTTGAATCCTTTGCTTGTCTAAAAATTTCTTTATTTTATCTCCACCCTTATTTGGCTCAATATAGATTTATCAGTTGAAAATAGATTTTTTTCTTAGAATTTTGAAGCATGGTTCCATTGTTTTCAGTTTCTTTTTCTTTTATTGTTCCTCTCCTTTCCTTTCTTAAAGGCATCTCAAACTCAGTAGGCCTGAAACCAAAATCAAACTCCATCAGAAAATCTCACTACCTTCAATGTTAAAATATATCCTAAGTCACGAGTTCTCACTATGCCCAATCCTCTGGTCCAAACTACCATCATCCCGCACCTGAACTTTTAATTGGTCATCCTGTTTCTGTATTTTTTAAATTAGAAAATATTTCAAATAAACCACATGTAGCTTTATACTTTTCACTACATAAAAAGTATGAAGATCATACACACATAAACATATGGAATTGCTTGACGTATTTAGCATTCACTGTTGCTTTGCAAACCAGCAGTTGCTTACTGAAAACACCTGGAACTCTCTAGCAGGTAACATGTGTTCAGCCCACAAAGAGGGTAGGGAGTTAACAACCCTGGATAAGCCCCCACCAATGAGTGTTGTACTAATACTCCAGCTTTCTTCCCTCCATTTCCCAGGTATTTCAGCAGTATTGAGCTTATCAGCCAATAAGAACCTGCTCACTGATCTTGAACTGGCTTTCTTACCTTCCCGTTTCATTTTTCCACACCCCAACTGGTGCTTTCTGATATGACCTACCAAATAAACTGGTTCCACTGAAATTTCAGTCTTGGGATCTGCTTTGGGAGATACCCAATCTAAGACAGTAATATATTCACTTTCCTGTCACTGGACTTCCAAGCTGTTCTCAGTTTTTCAGTATTACAAACAAGGCTGTAACATTTGTCTACAAACTTCTGGATATACATGTAGGAGGTTTTCTCTCAGTATTTACCCAATAGAGGAATTGCTGAATTGAAGGATATGTGCATCTTCATCTTTAATTAATATTGCCAACATTTTACAAGTCTGGAAATGGCAAGGACTGGCGAGAATGCCACATGTGATGGGTGTGGAATGGCAGGTGGTGGGGACTCAGTCCTGGCTGCCGGGGAGAGGCACTGAGGTAGTTATAGTGAGAAATGTTTCACAAATGGTATTTGATATAGTCTAATTAAGAATAATGGGGAAAATCTTTTCTTCTAATGTAAAAATGTATAATTTTTTTAGGGGGGAGCAACAACTTGAAATAAATCAGAAAACACTGAAGATATTAATCATTCTTTTCATATACTTCAAATTTGTACTTAATGCCTTTCTCCTCCTGGACATCAGAAAGAACACCTGGGTATCTATAAAAGAAAAATATGTATAATTATGTATCCATTAAAAACATAGCTTCCCTGATTCTCAACCAAAAGGCATCAATAGTGCATAAAGTAAATAAAATTTTCCTTCCTTTTTTTCTTTACAATGGTAAGCCACTTTTAAGTTGGGTGATTATTGTGCAAATACACTACATATGCAAATGGTAAGAAAAAAATTACAAGCTACATAGAAAGACACAAAATGAAAAGTGTAATTTCTTCTCTTCCTTCTGATTCCTAATTCTCTCTGCTAACCACTGTTAGCAGCTTCTCTGGTATCTTTCTACTTTATCACTCAGCTAATATGAAATTTCTTTTTGTTTTTTTGTAGAGACAGGGTCTCACTATGTTGCCCAGGCTGGTCTTGAACTCCTGGCATTAGGCAATCTTCCCATCTTGGCCCCCCAAAGTGCTGAAATTATAGGCATGAGCCACTGTGCCCAGCCAAAATTTGTTAAGAACTTTTTGCAAGTCTTTTACTTGTATCACATTTCTTGTGGAAGCAAAAGAAAAATATAATCTTTAGTTGTTTAGAGCATAACTGAAATTATTAATATGTGTCCTGCACAGTGACAGATTCTCCATTTCTGTTTGATCAATGGACACCACACTGCTCTATTTCCCTAATGTGTGGCAGACTGCAATTCCTTTACCAGGATCACGGCGTATCTGATCTTTCCTATTCCCTATCACTTAGGTCTGTGTTCTCTCCAGCTTCTCATTCAAAACCCAGCTTTCTCCACTGAGAACTCAAGCCTCCAGTGAATATTGCCATGTTGCCCCAAATCTTGGCGTACCTCCTCAGTATTGTGCAGGCTGCGCCCTGGTACGCTCCAGGTGGTGGTTAGCAACATCCTCTTTAAATAGACTGTGCTTGACCTTTAAATAGACTGGTTCTGCTGTGTGACACGTCTCTGAGCCTGTCTCTCAATAAAGTCTTCAAATTTGTAAAATAAACAGCATTGTGCCTAGCAAGTGAAGTGCTCCACAAATGTTACTCATTAACATTATTGGTTTGTTTTGTCCGCCTATTTTCTCAACTCGGTGTAGGCAGCGATAATACAGGAAAACTTTTTAATATCCACAATATCCAATATAATGCCGAGTAACAACAGGCATTAACCTTTTGTTTACTAATTAGAGATTATGCCATTTTGATAAAAAACATAATTAGAGACACGAAGTAACAATAGCATAATAATGTTTAGGGAGAAGAAAAAGATGATTTCTCCAGAATACACTTCAGAGGAAGAAGCAGTATTTCTATCTACCAACCATTTTCTCAGCTATTTCTATTCTGTTTTAGTAGTAATATAGCTTTTTGTTTTTTAAAGAAATGATTTTACTAGGCCAATTTTAAACCATAATTTTAGAGTCTTTGGAATGAGTCATGAAAAGCAACATTTACATATTTTCTTTTGTGCAAAATTCTCAAGGTGTCAAGACTGTCAGCTAATAAGACAAAAGCAAAGTATCAAGTTATTTCTAAAACCATGAATAACAACTTAAAAATCACTATGCTATTGGCTGGATATGATATGTAGCCATGGTATTCATGTTAATCTTCTCTGTGAAACTAAAATTTAATTCTGCTTAAATTTCATTTTTCTTTCCATAATATTCATTTATTCAGTCTGTTTTAATAATGATTAAAATTACCTCATAATCATGACTCCAAACTTTTCTAAAGTGCAAACTCTGCCTAAGAGCCATATTTGGACTCTGAGCTCAAGTCTAACAGGATTTAGAAATACTACCTATATGTTATGAACCATTCAGAGACTCCCCTCTAGAATCTTTAATAATTAAGGAAGCCAATGAATATGAATGGACATAAAATCTGAACTGACAAAGGACTACAAGAATAATCCAGAGATGATTTCATGGAAGGTCTAAGAAAGAGGTGAATAGAATCCTAAAGCAGTTACCCATAAAAAGCAAATCACAATTAATATCAAGACTCTGAGGAAGCACAGGCTCAGGAGCAAAGGGATGTACAAATAACATGGATAAGTATGCCAGCATCCTGGACAGAAGAGGAAACATTAGCCCATCTAAAACCTACTTCAAGTTGTCCATTGATAAGCGTCATCTGTCCCAGCTCTGGAGCCACATACTGCTTCCAAAGGCCTCTTTGGTCTTTATCTTCTTTGACTACATGGTCACACACAAGATTGTTAACTAGAAGGAAAAGCCTGTTTGGGGCTCATTACATAGAAAACGGCTGATATAAAACATCTGAGACCACTGGTTTGGGTGTGGCCCAGTGTCAAATAGCCTGAGATAGATTTCTTCCAGGCAAGATTAATAAGAGCAGAGCCTTAGAGGACAGGCTGGCAGGGTGCTGTCAAAAGAATAATTGCACAAACAATGATCTATAGGGGAAAAAGGCAGACACAAAGTAATACTACCTTCCTGTGTTAATAGTAACTTCTGCTCTTAGACTTCCATCACTGTGACTTCATTTATATTCTAATTTTATTCTCCTTTTGTCTCACAGTAGTTTTTTCTTTCATCTTCATTTCATCATACTAGTACTTTTTCTTTTTTAACCAGGAAGTATGGTGTTAATAAAAGACACCGTGTTTGAACTGAAACCTGTATAAGCACAAGACGACTACCAACAGAGATAATGGGGGCCTAAACTAAGCGGGTAGCTGTGGGGAAGGGAGGGGAAGTATAGAATGACCAAAGTTCATTTCTGGACAGTAGAGAACAATTCCGAGTTCCCCAATGCACAGAGATTTGGAGAGAAAGCAGCTCCAGAATTGAGCAATGTCACAGATCTCAGAGACAAAGAACATCTACTTTGTCTTGAGAGGTTTCCTTTTTCTCTACTTAATTAAAGATTGACCTAGTCCAGGTCTCCCCTTAGGGAATCCCTCCCCACCATGTTAAAAGAGGCTGTTATGATGTTAGTACATGCCTAAACACCAGATGACCATCACATGCCACAATGGAGGAAAGAGTTTTTTGTTTTTTCTTCTATAGCCTTGTTTAGAATGTCCATTTTGGGGCAATTTCCTTGTTCTTCTCTCAATCTACTCACCATTAAAATCTTCCAAGACATTTAAAGTAGTACTACAAATCCTTCACAAACTCTTCTGAAAAATAGAAGAAAGCACTTCCTAACTCATTCTGTGAGGCTAGTTTAGCCTGATTCCAAAGCCAGGTGAAGTCATTAAAAAAAACCAAAACTACCAACCAATAGCGCTTCTGAATATAAATGCAAAATTTCTCAACAAAATACTAGCAAACTAAATCTAGCAACATATGAGAAGGATTATACACCATTACCAAAGAGAAATTTATCCCAGAAACGCAAGATTTATTTAACATGAAAACCAATCACTGTAAAAGACCAAAATGATGGTATATTCAAATGTTAATTAGTGTGGAAGACAAAAATCACACGATTATCTCAGTAGACTCAGAAAAAGCATGTCACAAAATGATAGAAATACTCAACAAACTAGAAATAGAAGGGATCTTCCTCAATGTGATAAAGGGTGTGTATGACAAACCCACAGCTAACATTATCCTTAATGATGATAGAAAGCTTCCTCTGTAAGATCGGGAACAAGATAAATATGACTGCTCTTGCCATCTTCTAGTCAACATTGTGCTGAGGGTCTAGCCAAGGCAATTAGGCAAAGAAAAAAGAATCCAGATTAGAAAGGAAGAAGTAAAATTATCTCTATTTGCAGATGACATTATACTATATACAGAAAATTGTGAGGAACCTATTAATAATTAGAATTACTAAATGAGCTCAGCAAGGTTGCAGGATAAAAGATCAACAAATAAAAATCACTTGCATTTCTATATACCAGCAATGAACAGTCTGAAGATAAAATTGAGAAAACAATATCATTTAAAATAGCATCAAAAGGAATAAAATATTTAAGAATAAACTTAATAAAGAAGCATAAAACATATACACTGAAAGCTATAAAACATTGCTGAAAGAAATTCAAAAGGACTTAAATAGAAAGACATCACATGTTCATGGTTTGGAAGACTTAGTACTGTTAATATGGCAATACTCTTCAGAGTGATCTACAGATATAATATAATCCCTGTCTGCTTTTTGGCAGAAATTGACAAGTTGATCATGAAGTTCACATGAAAATACAAGGGACCCAGAATAGCCAAAACAAATCTTGAAAAAGAAGGAAGTGGGAAGACTTACACTTCCTGATTTCAAAAGTTAGTAGTCAAGATGGTGTGGGATGTACATATAGATCAATTGAATAGAACTAAGACTCCAGAAATAAACCCTCATATTCATGGTCGACTGATTTTCAACAAGGGTGCCAAAATAATAAAATGGGAGAAAATAGTCTTTTCAACAAATAGCGCTGGGACAACTACAAAAGAAGGAAGGTGGATCTCTTCCTTACATCATACATAAATCAACTCAAATGGATCATAGAGTTCTATGTAAGAGTTAAAAGTATAAACTCTTTGAAGGAGATAGAGGAGTAAATCTTTTTGAGCTTGGATTAGGTAATGATATCATTAAAAAAGTGAAAAAGACAATCCAGATAATGAGAGAAAATCTTTGCAAATCATATAACTGAGAAGAGTCTCGTATCCAGAATATTCAAAGAACTCTTAAAACTCAAAAATAGAAAAATAACCAAATTTTAAAAATAGCCAAAGGATTTGAATAGATATTTTACCAAAGAAGATATATAAATGTTAATAAACACCTGAAAAGATGCTCTATGTCATTGATCATTAGGGAAATGCAAATCGAAACCATGAGATGCTATTATACTTCATACCCACTAGGATAGCTATAACCAAAAAGTGTTGAAGATGTACAGAAATTATAACCTTCATTCACTGCTGGTAGGAATGTAAAAAAGGCACAGTCACGTTGGACAACAGTTAAGCAGTTCTTCAAAATGTGAACAGAGAGTCCACATGACACAGCAATTCTTCTAAATTATACCCAAGAGGAATGAAAACATACATCTACACAAAAAACTTGTACATGAATGAATGTTCACAGCAGCATAATAGCCAAAAAGTAGAAACAAACCCAATGTCCACCAATTGATGAATGGGTAAACAAAATGTGGTATATCCACACAATGGAATACTTTTTGGTAACAGAAAGGAATTAAGTACTGATAGATATTACAAGATGGATAAACCTTGTCAACATTATGCTAAGTGAAAGGAGCCAATTTCAAGAAAGACCATATTATATGATTGTGTTACTCTGCAAAGAGTTCTGATTGAGAGAAATATGATTTGGAAAGGTATTTAGTATGAAGCTGATTCACACAGTAATCTATACTTAGTAGTGAAGAGAAAAATAAGAAATGAAGGAGAGCAGAGATCAATATTCACATGAGAATCAGCAATCTAAGCAGAAGAGAAAATAAGGTATGACAAAGTAAAACAACTTATTTTTACATAAATATATATGAAATTACTCAGTGTGATTTTTCGAAATAGTTATCTTTTGAGCCTAAGCAAATGCCTGTACTGTTTATATTAATAGTTATGATAATTTTCAGTTTTCTTTAGAGTTCAGAGCCCAAGAAAATCAGTCACTCCACTTGACAAAAGACTATTACTTTATAGAGTAATAGACTATTATTCTAAAACTTGGCCATCCATTTATTCAGACTTGGCTCTGAATGTTTCTTTAGGAGGCCTTTCAAAAACAAACCCACACTCAAAGAATAATGATTAGATAAAACTGAGAATATTTGCAAGAAAGTGCTAAAAGCTGCTCTAAAATTATTGATATAATTAATCTTTTATATCTATAGCCAACAACTGAAAGGTGTTTTTAAGCTGAAATGCTGTGAGTTTTCAAAATCAGGCAGGCTCATGCTAAAGTCACAATTACATGGTAAAGCAAATGTAATCTCTTCTCTCCATCACCACCTGCTATCACCTTAATCTAAGTCCCTTCATCATTCACCTGAACTATTCTAGCTAATGGGTATTCCTAGTTCACTCTTGTCTCCCTCCAGTCCATTTTCCATAAAGCAGCTAGAACAATGTCACTCTTTTCAGAACCCTCTAAACTTGCACTTGGTCTGACCCCTGCTGGCCTCCCTCTTGCTCACAATGCCCCTAGTGGCCGTCAGGCTCAGGGAACAGGCCAAGACTGTTCTTGTCTCTGGCCTCTGCACTAGCTATCTTCTTTTTTTTTTTTTTCCCTGAGACAGTCTCACTCTGTTGCCTGGGCTAAAGTGCCATGGCATCAGCCTGGCTCACAGCAACCTCAAACTCCTGGGCTCAAGTGATCCTTCTGCCTCAGCCTCCTGAGTAGCTGGGACTACAGGCATGCACCACCATGCCTGGCTTTTTTTTTTTTTTTTTTTAATATATTTTTAGTTGTCCAGCTAATTTCTTTCTATTTTTAGTAGAGACAGAGTCTCACTCTTGCTCAGGCTGCTCTCGAACTCCTGAGCTCAAATGATCCTCCTGCCTTGGCCTTATACTAGCTATTTTTGATTCCTAGAATGCGCTTCCTGCTCTTTGAATGGCTGGCTTCTTGCTATTTAGATTGAAGCAAAGGCACCACTCTTCAGAAAAGACTTCTCAGACTACACAGTATCTACAACGTCACAATGTTTCAGTTCGCCACACACACTCTTCTGATGTCTATCTGTCATTTGCCACCCTTTCCCCGACTAGACAGACGGTAATCTTCTGGGGAGTACCAATAGCAGCTGGCTGGCCTGGTAAACACGTTTCCTCGGTGCTTAGCACTGCATCTGACTCTCCTAGAGGGAAGTGATGACTACTCATCTAGATTTCAGTAAAACCATTAAAGCATGAACATTTCCAAGTCTACTGAAGCAGATTTCCAAAAATTTCTGTAGAATTTGTCTATAAAACATACTGCTACTCTGAATTCAATCTAAAAAGACATGCTCTTTTTTGTAATTTATAAGCAGGAAATCCAAAAGAGCTTCAGACTAATAACACTATACTTACTCTGAGAGAAGTCTGTATTTCTTCAAATCAATTTCTGGAAAAAATGTGTCACTTTCAAAGTCCTGCATGATCCTTGTCACAAACAGTTTAAGATGGCCTGGTTGATTCATGGCTTCCTTTGAAAGAAAAAAAAAAACAGCATCAATTTCCTTAATCTGTGTCAAAAGATACAGAAACTCTGAGATTCTTATTTAATTAGTTTAAGTTTATACTATGTATTAAAGACATTCTTCTTACTACTAAAGCATACCATTTAAATATCCTGTTCTTTAGTATGGGGCTCTGCAAAGTGTGCCTTAGTTATATTGTGAAGGTACTAATCATTATAAGTAATTGTGAGACTGAGTTTAAATGTATTATGACCTCTAGTTTGCTTATAAGAACTCTTTTCAAATTTAAGCATTCAGTTTTGTTTTCCTTTGGCTGTTGTTTTGAAAGTTAAGAACTCCAAATTATCTAATTTGTTTATTTATTTTTATTTATTTTTTAAGACAGTCTCACCCTGTTGTCCCAGGTAGAGTGCAGTTGCATCATTATAGCTTACTACAATCTCCAACACCTGGGCTCAAGTGAGCCTTCTGCCTCAACCTCCCAAGTAGCTGGGACCATAGCCTCTCACCACCACACCTGCCTAATTTTTTCCATTTTTCGTAGTGATGGAGCCTTACTCTTGCTCAGCCTGGTCTCGAATTCCTGAGCTCAAGCGATCCCTGCACCTTGGCCTCCCAGAGTGCTAGGATTACAGGAGTGAGCCACCTCACCTGGCCAAGAACTCCAAATAATCTAGTTGTTCTCCCACAGAAAAATTTACATATGTATACCCAGATAAGACAGTACAATTTCACTTAACTATTGAAAACACAAAGGACATATTTAGTACACGTACATAAAACTTAATAATGCTTCGATTTCTCAGGAGATAATTACAATGCTAGTAGGAAGGTAATTTATTCTGCCTGTTGTCGCTAACAATTGTATTTGGCCATATATTGTAAACGATTTTCCTAATTACTGCCTATAGTACTGTTGATAGTTTCTATAGAAAAACTGCCCTGGAATGAATATCTTAAAATTCACATAAAAAGTATAAGTCCTAATTGCAGCTTCAAGAAAGCAATAACTCTTCATCTTCAAATAGCTTATAGGGAAAAGAAAAAATATATCTACAAATACACACATATATAAAATTCCAAGTATTTGTTATCCTTAGAATTCCAAATAAGGGCATAGAACAAATTTTACTTTTCATTTTTAATACTTTATCTTATATCAAATCATTTATTGTTTTTGCTACAAACAAATATGCTACCAATTCGTACTGTACCAAAAATTAGAAAAACTAAATACAGTAGTCCTCTGTTATCTGCAGTTTAACTTTCCACGGTTTCGGTTACCTATAGTCAATCACAGTCCAAAAATGTTAAATGGAAAATTCTAGAAATAAATCTTTCATAAGACTTAAATTGCACACTGTTCTGAGTAGTGTGATGAAATCTGGAGCCATCCTGCTCGATCCTATGCAGGATGTTAATGTTTTTGTCCAGAGTATCCACACTGTCTATGCTACTTGCCCCCTTGGTCATTCAGGAGCCATCTGGGTTATTACATTGACTGTGGCAGTAACGCAATGCCTGTGGTTCAAGGAAGTCTTATTTTACTTAACAATAGCCCCAAAGTGCAAGAGTACAGATGCTGTCATATTGCTGTAATTGTTCTATTTTATTATTGTTGTTAATCTCTTACTGTGCCTAATTCATAAATAAAACTTTATCATAGCTATGTATATATATAAAAAAATTATACATATATAGGGTTCAGTACTATCTATAGTTTCAAGCATCCACTAGGAGTTGTGGAATGTATCCCCCAAGGATAAAGGGGGACTACTGCAGGACTACCTACAGCAGCATTTGAAGTTCTGTATCAATGTTGATAGTACAAGGTAAACTTTCTCAAAAGGGCCAGGTGGTAAATATTGTAGGTTTTGAGGGCCAAAAGCATCCACAGACAATACTAAACAAATGGGTGTGGCTGTGTTCCAATGAAACTTCACTTACAAAAATAGGCTGGCAGGCCTAATTTGGCCCATAGGAAGATAAGCCGCAATGATCTACAAGCTGTAAGTATGTCACTTGAAGGTTCTACTTCCTTAGTATTTATCTATATACAGATTTACCAAATTATATAAATGCAATTAAGTACTCACATTGTTTAAAGAATACATTTTCAAGTGAATATGGTATCAAATCAAGCAAAATGTGATAGGTACTGAACAAAATAAATAACTTGTTTTCTTTGATCTTTTCATCCAAATATGAATTTCTTCTATGAAAAAATGTCCATTTCCCCCATTACAAATAGGGAAAATAAGAGGTTGTAGAGACAGGAAGCTAAGAAACTGAGAGTTTTTATAGTCCCATCTAGGATCCTGGCATATCTCTTCTTTCTAAAATAATTTTAGTGCATATATGTTACCACAAGTCCCAAAGGGTAGGAACTGATTTTTCTTCCTTTTCATA